TTGTGTTCTGGAAAAGTTAGATCTTGGCTCACTTTTTTCTTTTTCTCTTTCTTTTGAACTCTCTCAGAAAGATTTTTTTTTAACTGTTTTCACAATCAAATGAGAGCACTATGAAAAAAATCAAGTTATTATCTCTCCAATGGCACAAGCAACTTTAAGATTTTTGGAGTGCACATAGTCCTTTGGATCCAGTTGTAGCCTGTGTACCTTCCACTGTTAGTAGGTCCAACTGATCTCACCTGATATTCCCACTCCCATTCTTCAAAAAACTGTTTATAGATGTTCTTGCTGTTATTGTCATGATTGTTATTATTATTATTTTTTTTATTATCATTATCATTGTATTATTGTTGATATTGTTATTGTTACTATAATTACTAATTTATCAGTATTAATGGTATCATCATCATCATCATCATCATCATCACTACTGGTATCAGTGGTATCAGTGGTGTGATGATAAGCTTATGGTGTCATGATTATTGATTGCTATTATTAATAGCCATTCATAGATTTCCCTCCAAAAAAAATCAATTAAAGGATTAAGGAAAAAAGTAAAGTATTTTTAGAGCCATATATATATGCAATGAAAGCCAGTAGTGACATTGGATATGGCTTACATGTGTTGCCACCCCAACCTCAAGAGAGTTAATATATATAAGGAAAATATATATAACATTTTCAAGTGGTGGGATACATTGTTTGTGCTTCCCCAAAATGTTAATGTGGAAAAAAATATATATTAGTTACATGCAACATGTAAAAGAAAGGAAAAAATAGTTTAAGGTCTATGATGGCAATTTTTATAGATTTTTTCCCTCCCTAAGAGACTACCAGAGGCAAGAGGCAAACTGTTGGCCAATGTTGGTTCACACCCATGTTGTAATACTTAATTTTGATTGTATGTTTCTCAAGACCTGATTTTATCATGGGCTCAATTTTGATTTTTATAGTTTTCTATCATAAATTAATCTCTCTTCCCCTCTTCCTCCCTCTCCCCTTCAGCTTCTCTCTCTCCCTCTCTCTCTCCTTCTCTCACCTCCTTGTCCTCTTCCTTTTTTTCTCTTCTTTTTCTTTAATTAATTCAATGCAAGGAATCATTATGTGCACTCACCAATAGGTACATGACTTTTCTGATACAA